CCCAATAATCTTGGTTATATTCATTCTGCTCCTCTTTTCCCGCTCCCCTTTCATTCCCTCTTCTTTCAAAACAGATTTTCTCCCTTGTCTTCTGTAAAAAGTAAGAAGGAAATGGGAAGGGAAGTCTTTGCTATTTCTCAGTCCCACCTTCGCAGTCACCTTCATACACCCCTGTAAAGAAAAAGCAGCAAACACACTGATGCCAGCCCAGACTTGCTAAATTGCTGTCCCACATAGCAGCTGAGCGCTAAAGTGGGTATTAGAGACCAAGAAAAAAACAGGATTAACAACTTTTCACAGTAAAGCTAGCAACCTTGCGCGGAAATACGTAATTAAACTGTGTTAGATAAGTTTAATGCATGGTGTTTTTATCTATCTCAAAGGACCTAGCATTTAATAGGTGCCCTGTATAAGGTGCTTTTGTGTCACACAATCGCACTGGGTTTACAGAACAGCAGACGTACTTTAATCTGAAACAGCAGACCTGCCTTAATCTGTTTAGGAGTTGAACAGTATTCTAAAACTAACTTCAATTTTCAGTTAGTTAAATGTGGGTTAAGATAAAAATGTATCAGTAACAAAAATCTAAACTCACCTGAAGTTGTGGCTTGTGAGGTATCTGATAGCTGCTGGTCTGATGCGAGCAACTCCTCCCTGACTATGGCTTCCTCTTCCCGTGATAACACAGAGATATGGTTTACCACCAGTCTGCTGGTACTCTGTAACAGCAGGGATTGTAACGGTTAAAATTTTCCCTCAGCACAGAGACTTGGCATTCAGCATAACCTTTCCATCCATTCTTCTGAAAAAACTCACTCGTGATTTAGAACTTTGCTTTCCCATACTAGCTACGCATCTTTTACATAAACATAGCCATTTTCCCTCACTTTTGAAAGAGATACTCTGAAAAAAAATATAGTCTAAGCTTTTTAAATCTAGATTGCTTGTAATATGCATGTTGTGATCATCACAAAATCCTTCTAATTTCATAGCAGCTTTACTGTTTCTATCATCTAATCTTCACTTGGAATTTACATCCTGTGATGTAAATTAAAATTGCAAAATTAAAAGTGGCAGTATAATTTAATTTTTAAGTGACACTTCTCTCTCTTGTTTCACATTTTAATTTAAATTAATGTGAATAAATAAATAATATATATTGGATAAAGAAAGGAAGAAGAAGGAAAAGATAAACCCACACTGCTTTTGACATTGAAGTCACACTTATGTGGACTAACTTCTGCTATGTTGGAGCACGTGAATCAACAGATCAACACATCACACAAGCTTTATTAAGGCATCTAGCCCCAGTAACAAAAGCAATCGCTCTTCTCCCACCGCAACCTAAACTGATAAAGAGTTTGAAAAAGAGGAAAAAATACAAATTGAACTGGATTCTCACAGTAAACCAAGATTTGCCTGTTCAAGATTATCAGTTCACATGACATCTTTCCTCAACTACCCTCTCTCTCTTGCACTTAACTTTATTTGGGTTATAGATTAGTTTAGTGTTAATTCTGCCAGCACCAAGTGCCTGGTATTGATCCCCTTCCCACGTATGCACACTGAAATGAACTTTTTTTTAGATTTAGGTGAATGGACTGAACAGAGAGCCCCTACCATCATTACAGGACTCTCGATTTAAGTGCAGATCAGGAAATTTAGCTCTAAAAAGCATTAGGTTACAGCTTGAAGTATATAAATATCATCTTAGGAATAGCAAAAGATAATGCAATTTAATTACCTCTCATGTATATTGAAAGAAAAGGGTTACCTAAGCCCCCCCGAACACTTTTTGTTTCTCTGTGTGGAGAAGATGTTTCAAAAAAAATCAGGTTTGTGCAGTAGTACCTTGCATAAGAAATATTTCTTATAGAAGCATTCCCAGTGTGCTTAAATTTATAGGGTAAACTAATAATGCAGAAAATGTATCTTTTTACAGCAAGAACACTCATGAAGTACTTGAAAACTCCACTGGGAGAAAGAACAAGCCTTCAAGCAAAACTGCCCAAAATTACATTTATGGAAGCAGCAGTATTCTGATCTCAAGAGATCCTGCTGACAAATCGATGTGGAAGTTACTGAAAGATAGCTCAAATCACACACTTCCATGTAAAAGTTGAAGACAATATAGTCATTGCGGATAGAATTCCAACATAATGATTTTTCTTCAAAGATTAAAAAAGCAACATAGTTCTGACAAAGCAATGCAAAGATGACACAAATATTTGCATTACCACCTCTGTTATAAATGCCAGGAAGGACAGATCAAGTCTTCAGTAAAAAATAAATGATAAACCAGAAGGACAAGGAAGATTTACAAAGAAGCATGGGGTGGGGGGGAACAAGACAGAGAGCAGAAAGAATCACTGCCATATCAAAGAAAAACCATTCTATGGGGAATTTTGAAAATAAAACAACACAAAGCCAGTTGTTTTTACATGTTATTAAGTTGCATTCATTCCCCCTGATATTGCCATATATCGTGATTTCTTCGTAGGAAATGAGGAGAATAACTTTTAGGGGGCAGGAATTATTGGGTTATTCCTACCTTTGCTTTTTTCCTGCAGCACTCGGGATAACTGATTTACAGCTTCATCCACATGGAGACCATGCAGGTCCAACACATTCATAGGCAGCAAGGAAGTATTTACTCTCTCAAAGATTTGCACAGCAGCAGCATGGTTGGCTTCTTTCATCTTCTGCTTGTGAAGGCGACCCTTTATTCATAAGCACAGCAACTATTACACACCAAGACATAATCTAAGCTCCACACTGGTCGTTGGGTTCAAAATGACAGTACTGGCAGGGTGCTTTTAGCTCACAGCTTGAAGCAGTAAAATTTATAATCACAACAGAACTTCTGGAAGAGGCTCAGTGAGACCTACTCACAAGGAGGTTTCATTACATCTGTTCTTAAGAAACTATTCAAAACTGGCACAAAGAAGAAATTAACAAAAGCCACAAAACCATAAGGTCTTTACATAAGCTAAAAAGTTACACTCCATGCTGATTTTCATATTTATTATTCTAACAATAGAACTTTACTTTCTGAAAGTAATTTTGCTAAAAATTTAAAGAAACAGTGTCAGAGAAACTGCCCAAGAGCCTAGGAAAAACCTGCTGAGTGTTACAGTTGACATTAATTCTTCTGAACGCAATCCCTAAAAATCAGACAAGCCAAGGGCAAACACTTTTTTTTTTTTTTTTTTAAATAGTTGTCTATTATCTCTCCTAATATTTTTGACAGATCTTTTATGACTGACAAGGCTAATACAGTCCCTGTTGGAATTAGGGGCAAGGAGCAGTACAGGGTTATTCACGTTACACAGTGAACAAGTACCAACTACTTCCCGTGAACCCTTCAGTGACAGTATAGAATCATAGAATGTTTAGGGTTGGAAGGGACCACTAGTGGTCATCTGAGAGACTAAAGCAACAAATTATGTCTTTGAAGATCTGTAGGCACAGTCTAAAAAGGCATGGAAGACTTAACTTCAGGTACTGGACTGACAAGGGCTCAAGAGAACAGAAGTGACAGTCTGTCTTACACTTTCTTAAAATGGATTATCTGAAGCATGTTAGTGTCAGACCAGAGACACCAGACCCATAACTCTCACTTGCAGAGGATTCCCAAGACATGCTAAGGCCACCAAGCATGAAGTATTTTTCATGAATAAACGCTGCTTAGTTTGTCTTTTTGTTAACAAAAGAAATACATAATAAATTTCCAGATTGTACTTGTCGTTATGGCTAAGAACAGAAGTAAGACGGGACTTGAAATTATATTTCTACTTAAAATCATGCGGACCTTTGTTTAGAATCTCTCCAAACTTCAAGAATATATAAACAAAGAACTTAAAGAGTTCATCATAAAGACCAAAAGTCAGTATTTCCTACATGCATAGTACCAATCTAAATATTAGAGTGATACATTATACCAAATGCATGAAAGCCTTTTTAAGATAATAAGCAAATTCAAGTGATTCATTATTACATTTTTATTCTGTCATAATGCAATTCATAATTTAGAATTAAATGCTTCTATAATGTGAATTCTTACTGAATTTTATATGCTAATTAGATCAGGGAAAAGCTGCAGCCTTTAAAGATATTTCTAACAGAATTATTAAGAGTGGTTTGAATTAAGTGTGAATGGAAGGGTCTTGTGTCAAGGCACCGGGAAACCAACGTACAGGAATGGTTACATGAACAGTTGAAACTTATAATCAAGAATATCATCAACAGCTATGATCAACAGTAATCAAACTGGCAAATACCAAGAAATGTGCTTGAATCAAAGACCAGAGAGCCTGTGCTCCAAGGCCAGAGCACATAAGACTGATCAGCAGCAGATCTACACTCCAAAACCAGATGGATGACAAAAAGCATGGCATACCACACCGCATTTATCCCAACCCAAGACAGACTGTAGCCATACAGACAGTCAGAATGAGAAAGCAAAGACAGTAGACAGCAATCTGGCCCAAGATTTATGGAGAATAGAGCAAGCAAGATTCTGAGGCAAAAGATCACATCTTAATATGTCTGACTCCTATAAAGTACGAAAAACATGTCTAAAAAGCCTGCAGCACCAATTAAGAGGAACCCAACAGACACATGGAGGATTCAAAAAGTGATGTTTGTTGCAGTCCATGTCACACGCGAGTGAACCTGGCTGGACCACAGGGACACAAATCTTGGTGCTTACAAGTATGTGTATGCGAGTGAGTTCTGTGAAAGAAAGAGCACATGTGACTAAGCGCTAAATATCATCATTCATGAGGTCTCACACTGAATTTGGTTACATTAGCTTCCTGTATTGGTATCATTACTAGTGAAAGGGATTTTACTTGTAAGGTGATTCTCAATATAACTCTTATACAGAGAACAGTAATTGCGCAAATTTATCAACTCTAGTAGGCACAATGTTTTTCTTATCACTTCTAATTCAGTATTTAAGTACATCTCTAAATTCAGGCAAAAGCCACAATACTTATGTTTACCTGATGTGCATAAAATTCTGCCACAGGCTTCATACCCATGCGATAGGCCTCCCCAGCCTTTTTCAAACATTCCTGTCTCTTTTGCTGGTGACAAAAAGCTTCTGCTCTTAAATCATCATATTGTGGATACTCGAATTCTTGAAATACTTCACTCAAAGGATCATCCTCTTCCTTGCTTTTTTTTGCCTGTAGGAATTTGCAGTGTTGAAGCTAAGTATGCATTGTAGGGTGTTTTCATTAACATACTTTGGATATGTTTGTAACTACTATTTAAAAAAAAAAAAAAAAAAGAAAAAATACCTTCTTCTCCCGGTTCTTTGCAGCATTGTAGGAAGAAACAATTTCATTTTGCTGAACACTTTCTTGGGCTATAACTGTTTTTACAGGATCTGCCTCCAGAACACAGTTCAGAAACTGTTCAGTTTGTTCTAAAGAGTAGCTGTAAAGGATAAGTAAAATCTGTGACTTAACAAATACATTAATAGCTGCTACATTTATTAAAATGCGTATTACAAACCTTGATATTGTTACAGAAATAGATGGCCATGGAAATAAAACACTGAAATGGAATTTTCCACCTTATTACAAAAGGGCTTGCAGAATCACTGTACTGCATTACCGGCATTAACACATACACCATCTTGGTTGATTGAAACGTAATTGATGGGCACTTGAATATTAAAAAGGACAATGAAATACTAAATTGCATCCTACCTTAATCAAACAGACATTAATTTAGAAGTAAACACTGCTTTTTGGGCTGGGTAAGTTACTTCATCTTAAATCTTCTCTGGTTAGGGTTAGATAGTACAAACTAGCTCAAAACTAGCTCAGTTTTCTGAAACCATTACGCAGGAAAATCCTTGTATTTCCAGGCAGGCTTTGTTATTAAATTTAATGAAATAAGAATAGGACATAATTTGCCATCAGATTTCTAATAAGCCCTCTTTCTTTATTCTTCTTGCTGTTCAGTAGGCAGACAAGAGGAAGACTGATCAAAAGTAAAGATAGATTTTGGGAAAGGTAACACTATGAAGAGAATTTAAAATGTGAAAAACAAGAGATGGTGAAATGTTTGAGCTGTAAAGATGGATGAAGGATGTATTTTAAACATCCCACAAGGAAAGGTTTTGATAACAACCTGGCCAAGCAGAAAAACTGACAAGTAGGCATGCAAACCCATATGCAGAGACAGACATTCAATTGGCCAAGGATGAAAAAAGAAGTTTCTCTTGAAAAAAAGTTCAGTTCTCAGGAACTTGGATTTAAGGTAGCCACATACCCCAGAAATATAATGCAGAAAAGAGAGGTAAGCAGGAAGAGGAGGAGAGATGGCTGATTCCATCAGAGCTGCTGTAGTAACTGGGGAAGTACTCACAGCTAACATCAGGTTGTAACCAAGAGGATAGTGGTTTTGTTATATATTTTTTTATTCTATATCTTAGTCTTTGAAAGCAATGTGATGGGACAGTTAAAACGCTAACATTATTGCTAAGATACTACTTGCATACCCTCTGCATTTTAGTAATAGGTTAAGGAGTGTGTTTTAATGTAACCAAAGTAACAGGTTTGTGGTGTGTTTTAGCAACCTTGGTGAAGGGGTGGGTGCTATGGAGAAAGAAACAAATTACATTAACAATGCTCGCATGAAGGGATCAACCAAAGGACACATGGTATGACCACCAGAGACCACCAGGGACCACAAGAGACACCCCTCAGCTTTTAAGGATGCGTGTGTAATGAATATGTAAATATGATAATTAGTTCCGGGAAATTCAATGCATATGTATGTAACCAGGTGATATAAACTTTAGTTGATGTAACCTGCAGTATGCACGTTAGGTGGAGCAACCCCTTGTGCATCCGGCGCCGTGAATAAAGAATGCCTGCCTTTTAACACTACATTGGTGTTATGAGGATTATTCCCGATTTCAGTGACAAGGTGATGGTAGTTTTCCTCTTGGGCAGACGCCATTTTCTGTGAACCCACTATTACCACCCCCACTAATTTCTCCCACTCGATTTAAACCTCAGCGCTAGAACAAATACACAGTTCCACTGACAGTCAGAAGTCAACAGCCAGAGACATTCTTCTCCCAACGAGAGAAACTGTCTACTCACCAAAACCAGAAACAAGTCTACACATAAGAGTTATGTCCTTTTTGCTTTTAAGACCAGCTAGTTTTGCTTTTATGTAGATCTACAAAGAGCATACTAGTTTGGAAAAAGCCCTTCTTTAGCACCATCTTAACTCTTAAATGTTAAGACGGTAACTGCACGCAATAGTGTTACCGAGTACCATTTTTACAAAGAACTTTAAAGATTTCTTACTTGTTGTCCTTGAAGACATCCATTAAGAAAGTTTGACTGATAGTTGGAAACATTTCAAAAAGTTGCTTCTCCTTTAATTTAGCGGCACAGTCTTTTCTAGCCATAGGAGGAACACGATTCTACCCAGAAGACAAAGGAAAAATATTACAGTTCTTGATTAGAACAAAATATAGTAGCAGCGGAGCCAATCCAACTATACTGTTATTTAAGATTTCAGAAAATATCTACTCAGTAGGTCTGCACCCACAGCAATGACAACATGCCAATATCAGCCTGCCACACTGGTTTGATGAGAACAAAGTAGGGACAGGTGAGTTGTATTACACACCACTGCAGTACTCTGCAGTGTCTCAGGTAGAGCTCCCTCATAACTTGGACAAAGCAAAAGGAGTATTTTTAGGAGGAATTTAAGTTTTGGAATGCATTCTCTGCTAATCTATCTAGTCCAATGCTAAGCCTCTGCAAAATCCGCCTCTCTACTCTATACTAAGGGCCTGGGGTTGAAACAACATTTTATTGTTAGACAGTGTAAGAAATTTTGTTTTGGTGTATCTGAAGCTGTAATAAATATTCGTATTTGTAAACTCAGGCTGAGAAGAAAACATAATTATAGCCCAGAATAAACTGGACTGATCATTCCAATACTCAGATTTAAAAAAAAAAAAAAAAAAAAAAAAAAAAAAAAAAAGTGGTCAAAACAAAGCCAAGCTCCATGAATCCAAACTGAAATAAAGCTGTGGACATCACAGTTGTTATTATCAGTAAGCCACATGCATGCAGTTCAAAGAAAGAATCCACAAACCATTCGTTCAAAGTACAGGCTAACCCATCCAACTTTCTACACCCATAGAAACAAAGCTCCTCTTTTTTAGGACAGCTACTTATTACAGACTATTACAAATAAAAATGCCTGTTCTGAACAACTGCTGGGCAGTAGAGGGCAGTACTATGCACACTCCAACCAGACAGGGTATGGGAACTGTGTGGAAGATACAGAATTAATAGAAGGAATTTTTTAAAATTACTATTTCTGACAAGTGGGTACAGAAACCTGTTTGAGATTGACCTCACGTACTTCTTTTAACGTTTCATCTGTTAGGAATGTTGTGGGTTCTCCTTACAAAGAAATATTAAAATCAATTCAATCCGCTTCTAAACAAACAAGACATGGAGCTAATTAAGAACTTCATTTGATATTACTGTCCCAATAAAAAGTGGGGGAAGTCACACTTATCTTTGTTTTTAGGTGAAGCAATCAAAAAACAATTCAACCAAACACAAATGCTAACCTGTATAGGGAAATGCATCATGATCTGTTTGTGAAACAAAATATTACATTTTAAAATGAGATTTGTATTTTTAAAACAGAAACATCTACCACAAGCAAACTCCTGTATCACAGTAATCAACAATACTAATTGGCATGCATTTGTATCACGAATTCAGGCCGTAATCAGCAGCACAAAGATGAGTCACCAGGTAAGACATACTCTGGCTTCATCAAGAGAAACAAATTAAAACTGCATAAAAAACCGGTGCTATCCATACCAGGTCCTGTTTCTCCTGCATAGCTATTTCTTCAGAAATTATTTGTCTGAGAGAAACTTTCTGAATCTGAGCATTCCAGTGATCCATAAAAGGAAAAACATCTGATGTTGCTGGTTTTTTAGTCTGTGTGTCATTAGATGAGCCTGAAACCCAGCTCATACTGTTCTTCTGTATTTTACTGTCTGCATTCTGAGATAACAGCATTTCTGAGTCATCTGTAGCTATCTGCTGAATCACAGGAGGACCTTCAAAAGCAATGAGGCGACAAATAAAACAATTATTAGCTTATTTATACAAGCAAAGCCAAAATAATTAAGATAAATTTTTCAATCTAGATGGTTTGGGTTTTGTTAAAACAATATTACTCATACTAAAACAAAAAACAACACGTTGTTTTCACCTTCCTCACTTCTATTTTCCAAAGACTGTCTGATCATCTTTATCTATTTTGTAAAACAAACGCAAAACCATCAGACTCCCTCACCAAATTTTCAAGTGCCAAGACGTATCTTTACAGCTGTAAACTACCTTGCACATACATTAAGTGGGGAGGTTTGTTTGCTTTTATAAGAGAATTATTGACTCATGTGTTTACATGTTTGCCAGTCTTTACAACTTAAGGACAGATGCTTAACAACCTGGTTTCACACTAACAGTTACTAACGTTGCAATCCAAGTCTTCACCCAGGTCCCATGCAATAGCGGGGTTCTGCTGTAGAGGGACACTTCCTCTGGGAACTGAATGAAAACTAGATTGCTAGAGATTTTAACACTTTTTGAGCAAGGACATACATCCCCCTGCCACAATCAATTCCTCTGACACGGACAACAACGTGTGAACGTTGTATTCCTGACCTCCTTCCCTCACCTGCAAGAAATCTTATTCTGCTAGTAATTCTCTGGCCGTACCTTTTCTTGCCACAGAGACTACAGAAGTCCTACCAAACAGCTGTCTGATCCAGATGGAGTGTCTCTAAATTCTCTGAAGTACACAAAATTATAAGCTTTTTGCTTGCATCTACCTGGGACTAGTGATTCTGCTTATACTTAACTTCTTTTTCCCCCCACACTTCTGTAAGAAAATGGTAAACGGAACCAAGAGCAATAAATAAAAGCTTAGCCTAATAAATGAATCCATCATTTTTCAATAGACAGAGTATCTGCAACCTTACTGAAGTTTCAAAGAATTAAGTATTTTTATAATGAGAATTAAGCACTTTTACAATTAAGAGAAATACATAACATACCTCCTGCAGACAACTTATATGATTCATCTCTCCTCTGACGCTTCTAAATAATAATAGTAAAACCACAAATATTATAAGTAAGCTATAAATTTCGCAGTGAAACTTTGCAAGTGTTATCCTCTAAGTAAACCAGCCTCAAAATAATGTCTCACAGTATTTCTCAAGGACTGGATATTTTAAAAGAAACATATTTAAGAAAAATAATTATGAAGTCAAGTTTAAAAGATAGAATTATCTTTCTGAAAACACAAACTACAGTAACATGCCCCACTGCTACAATTTCATAACCTTAATTAAATAAACAAAATTTTGCCAAAAAGCATTCAGAGTTTCATAAGGCTATAAAGGAATGGAGGTTAGAGAACTCTTCCCAATTCATGCACATGGAGAGGTTTTGTATACATAACTATTCATAAAAAAAACCTTTTCTTACATGTCAAAAAGCCAGTAATGATTTTTGGCCAGTGGAATTTTTGATCAATCTTGTAGTGAAATTGTACATTATGATCCTTCTTTCCTAAGAATCTTAGTTTTGCGACGAGGCACTCATGACATGCCATTTCTTCATCCCTTAAACTCTCCTTCAACAGCTCTGATAATTATGACATGCTGATATACTCCATATATTTTACAAACTACTGCTGTATTTCATCATTGTTCTCACAAAGATATCTTACACATTTAGACGAACACATAAGGAGACAAATGGTCTGACAGAGCGCAAGCACACCATACCATAAGCAAGAAATCTACTAACCAGAATAGATTCTTTCCATTTTTCATGAATCACTCTTGCCAAATTCAGATCAATATGAACCACACAATCCTCAACAGTTAGTGATCCTTATGGAAGAAAGAAAATACATTCATTAAAGCATTCTATAAAAACTTATCTAAGCAATTAAAAGTACAGTAGCCCAGACTTTTTAATTTGAATTCTGGAGATTCTGCACAAACTGTCATTCCTGAAAAAAAACTTCAGCAACTGCCAAGTTAAAAAAAAAAAAAATGCATTCCACACAGAATTCATTACCTGGTATTCAAAAACTCAGAAAGAATAGGAAAAAACAAGTTAACATTAATTATATCTTATTGAAATATGACTACCCAAACAACTCCTTTTTTCCATTTTTCTAGCAGAACCTTCTTTTACAAAGCCACTGTTAATTTGCAACCACAGTGTCATTCACGGTTCCTGTGAAACTGTGATTCCCCCTATTTTATTGCAATCCACGGGCAACTGCTTTTATGTAACACAACATACTCACCACTGCCCAAGAACAGTCACATCCCTCCTTTCAAACACACACACTCCCAAGTATCCCCTCTAACTCTAAAGGAAGTGGCAGAAATTATCATGGTATCATGATACATCTTTTCCCTAAAAGATCTTTCTGACATTGTTTCTCGCCCTTTCAAAAATAAGAGGGCAAGAAGTATGTATGTATCAAATAAAAAGGCAGGGCACGTTTCCAACACAATAAAACACCTTTCTGCTATCAAAACCAAACTTTTTTTTGGAGGAGGAGGTAGGCATGGAAGGCAAAGAGGCCAACAGTCAAACCCACCAATAAACCAGGTATTCAGGGCTTCATATCAAGTAATCTTCAGGAGAAAATAGAAAAGAAAAAAAAGAAAGGAAAGAAAAAAAGAAAAAAAAGAAAGCAAACAAGCTATATATTACTTGTGCTTTCTTTTCTTCCTTCTGCTATCAGCGTTTTAACTTTTGAGATGCATGTTGAAGCTGTTTGTGGCTTCCTTCATCACAGTCTCTCAGCAGACTAGTCTGTTTTCATCTTTTAAGTATAGCTGTACTTTATCTTCTCTCTAAACCATTCATCTCTCCTTCCCCAATTTCACTTCTGCCTAAAGCTTTCTTTTTTCCTTCTTTTTTCCTAACCAGTCATAATTTGCATCTTCCTCATCATCTTAATATCCCTTCGTAGTTTGAATATAGGCTCAAAGGCCTGTTGTTCAAAATGCAAATAAGCCAATATATTTGCTCATGCTTTTAAAGTACACACATATACAAAAAGACAAAGGCAGAAGGTAGTACTACTGTATTTATATTTTTTCCATGCCTAATTCACTTCCCTTTTTGCATTAACAAAAGCAAACAACAGTATCACAAGGAATTGTGCAAATCTGTTCCCTAAAAATCAAGCATGAAGGGAGAAAAGCACAGGCAAAGGAAGAAAGGTTTTCTCATCCAAACTGAGTTTTTTCATAGAGGTATGGATATAATCATGTTCATACCTGCATCAATGCCAACAGGCCCAAATATTTCTTTCAATTGGAGTGCCAGTTCAGGAGGTAATGTTAGTTCTAGGCAATCTATATTGAAGGCTGCACGTGATGCTGGTACAGGGCTTTGTATCTTGGCTTTAGTTTCAATTTCTTCTTCACCACCTATCTCCCTGGAACTCCCCTGGGTTTCTTTATCTGTCTCCAGTTCTTTATTACTCCTAGGACCCACCAAAAGCACACGATCCACTTCCAGTAACGAAGCAGTCACTTTGGAACTTTCTGCATTGCTTTCTGAAGGGTTACTGTCACTTCCGTTATTTAATTCAAATTTCAAATCGGTAGAAGTTGCGTTAGGACCATGAGGCAAAGTCATGGGTATACTTAAACCTGCATCAAGTTGTGAGACTGATGGCTTCTTTATAGTTTCTTCAACAGGACTCTCAGACTCTACCTTCTGCTTTCCTGAAATGGATGGCTCTACGATACCTGTTGCTGAGCTGCCTGTGTCAGTTCTAGGGGCTACATCTCCAGAATTTTTCAGTTCTGCTGAGTCGTTCAATGAGGTAGCAGTCAGTAAGTCAGACACATCAGCATCTGTCGCGATTACCTTCGTAGCCCTACTTTCTGCAATGGCGAGTGATGAGTTCTTGTCTTCTGAAGGCTCAGAGATATCACCAGCCCCAATTATTTGCGGTGTTTGTTCACAGTCTTTGAGATTCTCACCATAGTTTGTACTTGCCTTGAAATCAAGGTCTACAACAACTGGCTCAGCTTCTCTTACTTGAAAGCATTCAGCGTCAACATCTTGGCACAACTTTTCATCAGAGTCTAACAGCAGACCTGTGGCCCAATCGATGTCTTTGTTACATCTTTCATACAGATCTTTCAGAGCTTCAGATGAAACAGACTCAAAGAGCTTACATAGCATATTTAGCTTTTCAGACTCATCAATATTTGTAAGTTCGCTTTCTTCCACAAATGTACTTTTATCATACATAACTCGATAGGGTATTTTCACCTGAGAATCTGAGGCACTGTCTACATCTTTGGGTTTGAAGCCATCTAGTCTGCCATGCAATACTTTGGTAGTCTCAGGAAAAAGCATTTTCTTTTCTAATCTCCACAAGAGAGCAAAGTCCTGTGATTCAGTCTGTGAATGGCTACTTTTTTGTCTACATGAGCACGCGTCACATTTCTCTTCTGCTGTGTTAAGCACAGGCAAATGTTCCTCTTCTTTGGGATGGGGCACATTGTTGTTTGTAAAAGTGAGGGCTAATTTGTGATGTTTCCTCATTCTCTTATTTTGCTGGGTTTTCTTCTCACCTACTGTTTCACTAGCTACTGTTTCAGGTTGGTGCACGTGCAAACTTTTTGTATCCATTTGCTCTGCAGTGTCCACAGGTGTCCCACGAAGCACATCTACTGTCTCAAGAGCATTTCTACTAATATCACCTTCAGTATTTCTGCCTTCATCGGACTGATTTAGATTTGTCTTTCTCATTCTCCTTGACCTCTGTTGTCTCTGTTCTAATGAGCCTGAGACAGGCCAATGTCCTATCATTTGTAATTCTGGTGTGACTTTATCTGAACTAACAGAGGAACAGCTAAAGGCTAGATTTTCTTCCTTATATCCTTTCTCAACGGAACAGGTTCCAGGCAGGCCTACTTGCTCTTTACCTAACTCAGGATGCTGCTGACTGGGAGTTATACCTTCTGTATTGCTCTTCACAGAAGATTTTTCGAGTCTTCTAGCTCTTTTGACTCTCTGTCCCATTGTTTGCTCTACAGGCCAGTCACCCAGAAAGTTTAGTAGTTCTGGTTTTCCTGACGAATCAAAAGCTGAACTGCTTGGTTCCACTACATTACTACTTTGTGTTGATTTTGGTTCTGTACATATTTCACCAGATTGTTCAACTTCAGTTTGAACTTTGAGAATGTTATTATCGCTGTGCTGCTCAGCTTCTCCTGTATGCAAACACACAGTCTCTTCAGCTGTGGTCACATCAACCCCATCCATTTCTGCTTTAGTATTTTTTTCTATTTTTTCTCCCTTTTCTTCTTTCTTCTCCAGGGGCAGTTCTTTTTCTACACAGTCTGATAAATAAACATCCAAGTCACCTTGAACAGTGCTGTTCTCAGAATTGTGTTCTCCCAAGTTATTTTCTATTTCTTTTTCCTCTTCCTGAAAATGTTCAGGATTACAGTTACTTTCTAATGTTAGAGAAGTACTGGGAAAAGTTTTATCTTCAGCTAATTCAAGAGGCTCCACATCAGAAGCAAAAGGTTTTTCTTCCTTTACATCTGAATATGCCTCTCTCTTTCTGAAAGACAAATTGGAATAAAAGATAAACCATTTCAAACCTTTTTAAGCACCTGTCTACATTTTTAATTTTGGCTTGGCTATTTAGTATTTTCAGATTACAGACCAGAGACCACCTTTTAGGACATTAATCATCCAGCTGGAGAACTCTAGTGGAGAACTCTAGTGAGAGTGAAACAAATTTAAGATGACTTAGCCCTAACCTCAACACTCCTTTATAAAAGAGAAGGAGCTAAACAAAGCAAAACTTTTCTTGGCAAGTATCCCTTTTTTACTTCGGCATGGGGCTGAGAATACTTTCTCAGGAGTCTATTTTACCCCATTCCCAGCATTCAGTTATGTACTGAAGCACTCTGCTGCCAGACATTGCCTCCTTCCGATCAGCAAACCTGATAAATATGCTTTTATTTAATGACTGTTGCTCTCTCCTGATGGCTCAGTGCTAAAGAAAGTCTGGAAGTCAACTAGGAGAGGATGTGCCATTTCTTGTCACACCATTTTTTAACAATCAACTGCATTCCATTAATTACCAGTGACCACTTCATTTCAAATACATTAAGCACATACAAACCAAATGAAATAATAAGTACAATAAAATCTTATTTCCTATGCCTTGTTATAATGCATATACAGCATTATTCAGATTAGCCACTACAAAACAGTCATGTATACAACCAACATAAAACCAGACAAGTCTAAATTAAATATACTCAAGAACAAGTAGATAATTTGTTACTACTGCATGAAGAATCCACCTCCTACCACAAAGACAACATCTAATACCAACACACAGGCTCAGAAAGAGTAATTTGCTTGTATTTAGGACTACATTATTCTGAGAAGCATTTTACAGATTTTAAATGTTTTCTATCTACCACATACATCCAACAGCACATTTCTAAGATAAAAGAAAGTCAATCAACATTGGCTTATTGAAGAATAACACACAGCCATACCGGGAAGTTTTCAAAAATCAACGGAAAGTTGACTAGATCCCATGACTGCTCATGTCTGGAAATACTGAAATTCTTAAAAATTAGGAAAACTATGTAGTGTATTTCTTTTTATTATTTAACTAATTTTTTTAATGCATTAACTGTTCAACAGCATTATCCAGGTTCCATGGTTATGAAGTTTGAATATTTAGCCTTTTATTTGAGACTACAAAGCTAGCAAAAGAATCTAACCTATGGCTTTCCTCCTGACAAGAATCTTCGCTCCAGCCAGCAGCTTCTGATTTGTCTGGGACTGAAGAATCCAATATTGAACTAACAGTAAGGCAACGTTCAAACTGTTCCAACATCCTTTTGATCTTTTCTTTAGATACACCATGAACATTTCGCCTATAAATTAAAAGATTGAAAAAGAAACATTTCAGATTTGTATATTACAGTGACAGAAGAGAATAATTTAATAATCATTTAATGATAATTAGTTTACAGCAAGACTAACCATAGAATTCAGGGGCCCAGGCAAAAGCTGTGAAACAGCAATTCTTTCTGTATCAGTGCACTAAGGCACAGGATATCTCAGACAAATTGCAGTTCCACTTGACTTCTCCACCCCACCTGGTGGCCCTGTTCTGCAATAGGATTTTTTGCTTAACACTAAAGTCTAAAACTGTACCAATAATGCATCTTCTTCAAATAAGTATCAAACCCACACCATATCAGATCCTGACAGTGATGCAGGATATCAAACTGGGTACAGAAAATTTCTGCATTCAGTCTGTCTTCTCTGGTTTTGCTAAACTGAGAACTCCTTGAGCAAAACCTAATCACCTATTATTTTGGACACCCTTTGGCTAGCAATTTTCACTGACTCTGTGAAACACCAACTAGCAATGTGCTCTGTAGCAGTTCCAGCTACATCAAGTGAATCTTGCCAAGGATGGCAAACAGAAGATACAGGAAAAAATGTTTCAGTTCTATTTTAGGAAAAGTGGCCAACCTTAAGCTAAGCATGCAAATTCAGATGACAACAGATATTATGAAATCATAAAATAATTTATGTTGAACAGGACCTCTGGAGGTCACATAATCCAACCTCTAATTCAGAGGAGGTACAGCTAGATCAGGCTGCACAGAAATTTGTCTTGTCAAATTCTGAATATCCCTAATGACTAAAAGTCTACAAATTCTCTGGGCAACCTCTTTCAGTGCCTGAGCACCCTTTCAAAGTAAGTTTTGGGTTTTTTTTCTTTTACGTAATCAAAATTTCCCAAGTTCCAACTTGCTTATGTTTGTTTTGTCCTACCCCTGCACAATTCTCAGAAGAGATCTTGTTATGTTCTCTATAACCTCCCAAAAGGTAGCTGAAGACAACAATACAATCCTTCCTTAACGTTCTCTTCTTAAGGCTGAACAAACTACTCTTGCTCAATTCAGTATCATTTGCAAATCTGCTGAGAATGCACTCTGTCCCAAAATCCAAGTAATAAAAAGGACTTTAAATAGAAGCGACCCCAGTATTCAACCTAGAGGGACATCAGCCTCCTCTTGGACCTTGAACTGCTGATCATATCCTGTGAACCTGGTATCCAGCCAATTTTCTAGCTACCTTATTATTCACTTACATAGGGTTTACACCTCGGTTATTTTGGCTGTAAGTAATGGCTCTATGACTGTGTAGAAGGTCCTACTAATGAAAATGTAAACAACAATGGCAGTGACAAACTCAGTGACAGCAGAAACATTTCGAGTAAGGCAACAGACCAGCCAGATGCAAAAACAGTCCCAACCTGACACCATTTTTGCAACCTCGGGAACCCAAAGGAACAGTACCTTAAATGCAGAAGATTTGCAATCATTAAAACATTACATAGTAACTATTGCTAACAGCATATTTTGTATGTAATTAAAATAAAGTGACAGAAAAAAAAAATCTTGTAAT